AGAGAGATTATGTAAAGGTGCAAATTTCCAATGATGAATGTCATTATATTGTATACCTAAAATGTACCAAGAGACAAACCAAAAACAAAATGGTACTGTTGAAAATAAAGCTGTGGCAGAATGTGTATTAAGAAAAAGTAAAAGAAAGCAAGTATAGAGAGGTTAATATTCAGCAAGATAGAAACAAAATGTCAGTATTAATAGGACATAGAAAGATATATTAATAAAATGTTTGCTTAAAATTATATGTGTCACAAATTTAATGACTTAGAAAATATGCACAGCAAAAACGAACAAATACAAGAAAACAAAATATTGTAGAAGATTTTAGCATGCAGTTCTGGAAAACAGCAATTGAAGATCAAAAAGAAGGCACAGAAAACTTCAATAATTAAATTATATCAAAATAAAAAGTCAAGAAAAAAGAATAAGTTAAATCTAATATAAACTGACACATACTGAAAAATCTAGAAAGACGTATTTTTTAAGAGTTGCAAAATGATTCCTACAGTAAGAAAAAGAGATTGAGGGAGCTGAGAGAAAGGAAGAAATTTATATCTATGTACGTTTCCATATCTATATAAGTTTGAATACTTTTCAATAAATGCTATTTGTTTGTTGACTGAAGCTCCTTCCTTTATTCCCATTCCACTTTCTGACCCAAGTTGAATGCCCTGGAGCAGGTCTTGGATCACCGGATAAACAAGGAGAAATAAGGATAAGAGAGAGTAAATATAACTGGTGCTCTGGTCCAGGACCCAATGGCATGTCTTACGTGATACTTCAAATCCAAACCACAAAGTTACAGTTCCGCACGTGTATTTCCATAAAGAATTCTATGTCCTTTGAATGAAATTAAACACAGGAATAAAATTTAAAATGTCTGAATTTTAGAAGTATAATTCCATATCTGGTACCTATGTCAGAATCTCTGTATAAAGAATGTTGAAGCAGAATTACAAAGAGGTGATGATGGATACGGATGCATTTTAAAGCCTTTTCCCAGCCTGTCAAGTTTAACTTACTCAGTCCTACTGCACCCAATCAAGACAAGACCTTTGGAAACGACTGTAAATTTTAATCATCTGTGTGACTGTGATTGAGGGTTCGTAACAGCTACCAGGAAGAAGGACAGAAAAAATTAACAAAAGATTTTGTTTTACACAGTGGATTACTTCAAAGGGAAAGAAAGAAGATCACATGCACAGTTTGGGGCAGGGAGTCTACAAAGGTTTGAGATGTGAGACTTGGGCCATAGTTCCAAAAATTACCATAACATAAATTAACAAACAAATATAGTCCATTTCTGCAGAAACATCTTACTTTCTGTTACCAGTCAGCTTTTATTTTCTTTGGTATTCTATATCCTCAGCACCTTCTCCCCCCACCTTACTACAAACTCTTGATTTTCTTTTGATTTTTTAAAAATAAAATCTTCATGTTTTCTTCTCTGCAGGGAACTTTGCCTAAGTTTAACATGCCATATAACTTAAGATTACTCATCTCCTACAAATACAACCTACTTTCTGCACTTAACCTGGAACCTAAGTAAAATTCCCTGGCCCTGTTATACACTAGATTCATGATTTCAAATCCAGTTCACACATACAATGCACATTTCTACATCACCTGCATTCTGGAATTCTGATGAATAGTACTGTATCTACAAAGCTTTTTAAAACTTTAAGTGAAAACAGATCCCTTTTAGATTGATATTGCCAAATCACTTAATACCACTGATCCTTAAATATTATTCCTAATGAAATTTTCATGAAGTTATTGTCATTGTGAAAGAAGGCCCTGCCACTCTCTGATTACTGCTGTTAGAGCCTCAGACCAAAGGAGAATAAAAGGATTTTGAGTCCTATGTTTAAAACCAATATCAAATATTCACAAAAACTATATGAAAGTTTAGACTCTTGACTCAGTAGTTTCCTGTATGGGAATCTATCTTAAAATAATTCAAAGAATAAAAAATTATCTGTTTAGGGCCAGGGATTTATCTCAGTGATTCTGCCGCCTGCCTCGCAAGTGCAAAGACCTGAGTTCAAGCCCCGGTACCAAAATGAATACATAAATAAATAAAAATATGATCTCAAAACAACCTTTCTCTTTAAAAAAAAAACTATCAGCTTAAATATGTTCATTTCAGCATTATATATAAATAATGTGAAACACTGGGACCAATGATACTATCCAAAAATACAGAAATAGTTACATAAATTATGGAAAATCAATTCAATGGACTATTATAAAGCCACTGTAAGAGTAAAGAAATTGTTATGAAATACAACTTATCAAGATTACACAATAATTTACAATATAGTTTAGCAGAAAATCATAAATAAAAAACAAAAAAATGAGACATGGCACTTGAACACACTGGAATGCAACAATTAAAATTAATAAATTGCATAACTCATTGGTTTTCTTTACTTTTTAAAAAATACTGTTTTACCAAAGATTTTACAATAAATAAAAATGGAAAAAGGTAAATATCAAAAAATTATTTTCTGAAGCCAATAAAAGCTGTTTGAATTTTCATAATTCTACATAGAAAATTATGTTCAGAATCAGCAGGACTAAGGTAAATTTACATAGTTTCCAGATTACATGAGTTCCAAGATTTGAGTTTTACTTTGAATAGCTGTAACCCCTTTCCCAGTAGCTATGAATGGATGTAATAACCAGAAGAAAAGAAATGGTAGAGGATTTGTTACTACAAACCATGATTAAACTGCACTTAATTAGATTTAAACATCAGAAATCACAAATGGAGGAAGACTCAGAAAAAGGTTTCTCGTGGATAAGAACCAACTGTTCTTTTAGCCCTAAGAATTATGTCTCTTCTAGTCCTTTAGTGAGGAGAAATTGAGTGTTGGTGTCAGAAACCAATGATCATTCCATTCTCTGTAATGCTGCACAGCAATTGTGTAACATTTTTTATGAAATCAAATATATATTTTATATATTTTTTTTCTAAGTGTAAAAAGGGCTTCAGAGTGAGGGAGGGAGATAGTAGATCAAAACCCTGAAGCAGAACTAGCAGCAAAGCCTTTTAGAAGAGAAAACCGCAGTGCTGTTACTTCCCCTACAGAGGTGAACTGCTGTCCCCTCTCGGGACCACAGAGGTACCTGTGTCAGAGCTGCGGAGCACAGCATCCTTGGAATAAAAATTATGTGTGCTATCCTTCCTCAAAGATCCTTGTGATTAAACCATGAAAAAATTTGCTGAAAACACAAATTTAAAAGCTCCAACACTCAATTTTCCTAAGTGTCCTAGGTATGATTCATTTTCTGTGTTTTGTAATTAATGGCCTGGATGACTCAACACATTTCCCGGTTCACTAAGCAATCTGGAAATGGCCAGAACTTTTCTCTAAAACTTAGCTGTCAATTATTCCTCTAATAATGTTTGATTTTTGGACCATGGTGTTGAAATGCCAAGTCACTTGAACAGATGACCATTTGAAATTTTGAATTCAAAGCTTTTACTTTTTTTTATTTTTTTATTTTTTTGGTACCAGGGATCGAATTTTCAAAGCTTTTAAATAGCATAAAATATCAGTTAGGGATCCCACAATTAAGCAGAAGGGCAGGAGCAGTGGAAAGGGGGAAGACAGAGATGGAGGCAGTGGAAACAATGTGGGGCCTCCTTCCTGATACTGGTTTATTAATAATGACAACAGGGTTCCCAGCATTTGCACAACAGCAATTAGCCTTGATATACTTTTTTCTTTCCTACAAGAACCAAAATTTGCTTCTCTGTGTATATTTGGAATTCCACATGTTGGAATACAGGAAAAAAAATCTACATTTCAAAAAAGTAGAAAAAATAATCCAAAATTGTGATATCAAACATCAAATTGTCTAACTATGGAAGGAACTTTCTAAATTTCACCTCAAAGGCAAAAGAAAAGTTCTCAGGTCAGTTTTCCTATTTTCTTGGGTTTTAATGCCTTAGTCTAAAGAGCTAGTGTACAAATCCACACACATGCTGTGTGTGTAAAACACATGCTCAATTCAAAGACTTAGTATGGAGAAACATAATGTAAAATATTAATATTTTTCATATTGAAGCAGATGATAATATTGTGGATATGCTAGACTAAATAAAAACGTTATTAATATTAATTTCATCTGTTTCTTTTTATTTTTCATAACATGACTACTAGACATTTTAAAATCATATAGGTCACTCATATTTGTGATGTTCATATGTTTATTATAATGGTATATAAATGAATCAGATTGGATTAAATTATATAAATCCCTTCAAGCCCTAGGGTCTGACACTAAGAAACTGTATACACAAGCTAGTAAGATTTAATAAGTTATCATAGAGAAACCTAGCTCTCATCAATACTTCATTCTTTCTCACTTTTTCAGCAAGGTCCTTCACTATCTCCTCACTCTGTTTCTCAAGGCTCCCTAATAGTCAAGAAGAATGAGTGTGTCAACTTACCAATAACCTGCAAACGCACACTCATGGGGACATTCTGGACAGATCATATTTTGCCATTTGATCATATTTCTTTTTGTTTCATGCTATATTTGCAGATAATAGACACTAATGTCTATTTTTGACGATCTGCAATGAATAATGAACTTTTTTGTATTGATATCTATACAAAACGAGTTGTGATATTAGAGAACTTCAGAAGTCTCATAATCCAGTGATTCCCCAAACATACTGGTACCTATGTATCACCTGGGAAATATTTGAAAAATAGTGATTTCTAGGCTTGCTATCTGGAGACTCTGACTCAGAAGGTCTTGATGATGCCCAAGATTCTGTACTCCAAAAAGCTGCCCAGATCACTCTGAGGCTTAGATCCAGGGAACCACAGGATACCTGAACTTACTTCTGTAACTGGTGTAAGATGAATTTTCCAAATGGGAAGGCCAGGAACCTCAGACCTGGAAGCCAAGATGCAGGGCTCCTACTCTAGTTCACCACCGTTGGATAAGTAGACTCTTCAAATACCTATATTACTCACCCTTCAAGAGCACCAGCCATCAGAATATCTTCTTTGTCTGTTTTAACATCCAACTCTGGTTCTCCACTAAGCAGAAGCTTCAAGTTATAAATAACCAGCAAAGTACCTGGTAGAAAAGTAGATGTGTGACTTGTCAGTGTTTCAAATACACTAAATGCTACACATTGTGCTATCACCTCATTTATAGACTTGCGTCTGCTATAGATCAAATTTTCTTTTGTACCTCAGTAAATGATACGTTTGAATATGTTCCAAAATATATGTCTTCCAGCAGACTCCACTCTCTGCCAAAAAGTGTTGAGCTTTTATAATATGGTGTTTCTTATTACTATTCAATTCATTACACGTCTTTCAAACTCTGACACTCTTTTCATAATTTGCATCATAAAAATTGTTAGGAGTCTGAGCCAAGTTTGTATTGCAAGCAAAGCTATCATTGGTAGAACTGAAATTAATGCATAAAAGAAGAAATATGAGATTTTAAAACTGTAAAAATACAAAGTATTTCTTCTAAACTTCATAGCTGGTATTGACAAACTTCCTCTGCACAAGGCCAAATAGGAAATATTTTAGGCTTTGCAGGCCATATAGTGTCTGTCATAATTACTCACAACTCCACTCTGCTTCTGTAACATAAAAGCAGCCATAGAGAAGATATAAATGAGTGAGTTTCACTGTGTTCCAATAAGACCTTATTTATAAAATCAGGAATGGCCTGTGGGCATCTTTTGGTGACCCCTGCTCTAAGGCATGGTTAATAAAACAGCTCAAATATTTACAAGGTCTATTATGATATGAAGGCAAACAAATACTGCCTCCAAAAAAATTTTTTTAAGTAATTATACTTTTGTAGGGAAAACAGTAGAGTGGCTAAGAACATGGGCTTTGGAGCCTAAATGTCTGTGTCTAAATCGTGGATAACTGCTTACTAATACAGTGACCTCCATTAAATTTTCTAATCTCTCTAAATCTAATTTTTCTCATTTATAAAACAGAATTTATGAAAGACCTGCTACACAGAATTTTTTTGAGAATTAAATTGACTTCATTTTTAAAAAGCACTTGGAAAACTATTCAGGAAATAAGAAGCCCTTCATTACTAGCTGTATATTTTATAATTAGAAGTCAACTAAAAGATTACATTAAAGGTCTTTAAAATATATTGGCTATACATTAATAAGATGAATACTAATTTAATTGCCACTACTTTTCCTCTATGATTAAAAAAGAAGTGACTTCAAACATAATTTTTAAACAAAATGCCCCATTAGGGAAGAAATTTTGGAGATAAAGCAAGGCAAGTCTGAAACAAATGATTTAAAATTTCATTATAAGGATTACACGAGTCAAAGTCACAAGAAGCAGAGTGCACACAGCTTTCTCTAAAGCACAGTTCTTCTGCTTCTAGATATGAAAATGGAAGTCTAGACAAACACTGGGACTGGTAAATGTCAGTGGACATAATGCATTCGACATGCTGAGGCAGAAGGTGGCAGAAGATGAAAGGACGGGGTAAAGATCTGTTAATCTGGGAGGAAAATGTTGACAAAGCTTTTGCTAACTCTCTGCCTCATAATAAATATAGATTTATTATTTTATAAGTTGCTAACTCTCCTATCTGCTGGTATCACACCATCTCAGATGCTGCGACAAGTATCTCCTAACTCTGCTACACAAAGCAGGAAGTGGGGAGTCGTGGTGATAGCATGCATCATCCTCTTCTTATTTGGTTTCAGCAAGCTCATGTAAGCACAAGCCTTTCTCCCGTGTCAGAGATTTACAGTAACTCACATTTGGAGCCTCTTAAAACTCACTGATAAAATGAATGACTGTTCCTTTGTGAAATTATTAATACAAAAAAATATGAAAATATATGAAGAATGTCTTTCAGAAGACATACAAATACTTCCATCAAAATCTCAGTTTTTAGGATCTTACCACATTTTCCACAGATCATGTCAAATTGCTCCATCAATTCAGCTTCATTTTGAAATGGAGAGTATTTATAAATTATGGACAGTTCTGTTGAGAATTTTTGGGCATCATCTGTGACAGATTCTCTCGTTCTTGTTAACCATGAAGGCATTGGAACTACAACCTATTTTTAAAAAGTGAATTCATTATGAAATACATAAAAACCATCATCTTTTTGTCCTATCCTAATCCATTCTACTTCTCATCTAAATTATAAAACAAAAAGTTAAAAGTTTATTTTCTTCCCATATTGTATTCTAATTTTATAAAGAAAGACAACATGTATACTTGGGTTTTAAAGTACTCTACTGTGAAATGTAGGGACAGACGGAGTCTGCCTCAGCTCCCTCTTAAAAGATGGGTGGAATGGCAAAGCAAGCAACACTATCAGCATTTTAGAAGTTGAAAAGTAGATGACAGCATACCAAGAAATACAACTCAAGGTCCCCCTGCCAGAAAAGAAAGGAGCCAGCCTGATTTACAATTCAGTTTGATGGCTGGAGAGCCAGAAGCAGCATCAAGATCTCCATCTGGCTACAAAAATCCTGGATGTTTTTCTCTGAAAGGAGAAGAACCTGTGTTTCTGGACCAGAAGACATACAGGCACTGTCATTAGGGGGACCTTACTGAGAGTAGAGGGACTGAGTGAAAGTGTATATATTGGATGCTGAGAATCCCAGATGTCTTTTCTCATCTTCTTCCCAAAAGGGCTGGCACAGATGTCTTCAGACAGAAGACTGTAGGAAATCTGACCAGTCCAAAAGGAAAGGCCTAAAAAAAATAACATTAAATGTGCTCCAATAGAAAGGTCCAGTTAGATTGTTGGATCATTTAATTGGCACACTCAGAGCTGCCAATCTCACATTCTTGAGAGTTTCAATCAACATTTTATCAGACTAATAAAAGTGCTTTGGACTAACAATCATCTAAGAAAAACATCTGATATGATAAATAGACAGCACATAAACACACATAAATTAAGCAATTCAGTGGAAATGTCAAGGAGAAAAAAAGTCAGTTTTTATAATAATATTCAGAGCTGTTATGAGAAAGTACTGTATGCATGAAGCAAAAACTAGATATCTTTGAAAAAAGACCGCTGAGAGGATAAAAAAGGCTTCTTGGAAATTAAAAATATGAATACAAGAAAAAACATTATGAAAGAATTGGAGGATAAATGTCGGAAAATCTTCCAGAAAACAAAACAAAAAGACAAAAGACAGAAAATAGGAGAAAAAAAGTTAAGAAAATAAGAACACTTTCCAGAAGTCCAAGAACAAAAACTCAGAAGTTTGAAGAGGAAAAAAAAAACAATATGGATGGAAGAAAATCATCAATGTTACAGGAAACTAGACAGGATTTACAGAATATGAATTTCCAGATTTAAAAGTTCTCACACGTGCCCAGTGCAATCTCTATAAACAGACCAGATAGATAAAATATTGAAATCAGAACACCAGGGAGAAAGAAGACTCTTTTGCCCTTCAAAAAAGTAGAGAGAGGGAGAGAAAAGAATGGGTCACATACAAAACAAGGGGATAAAATTAAATGATTTTAGATTTCTCACTAACACTACAAACTACAAACACTACAAACTAGACAATGGAGCAATACCTTCAAAATCTTGAAGGAAAATGAATTCTAGCCTACAAATAATACCAAGCCAATTTGTCATGAAGTGCTGAGATAAAATAAGAACACTGTAATAAATGAGGAGTCTCAAAAAATTCTGCTTCCCACATTCTTGCTCAGAAAGCTGCTACAAAATATGCCACACGAAGAGGAGAGAGCAAGCTGCAAAAGAAGAGCCTTGGGATCTGAGACCTGACAGGTAACAACGGCAAGGGCAGATGCCAGGATAATCCCAAATGCCAGCTTTGGAAGACAGGAGTATGGGCTGCAACACAGGCGGAGGCTCCACAGCAGAGCTGTTGGGAAGATGAGGCTGACGAGAAAGAAAGCAGTTGGAAGCTGAGATAAACTAAGTAATACGAACACAGAAAACCAAGCAAACATTTAGTGACAGTAGTAAAGACACAAAAAGCTAGGCAGTCCACTTTTAATTCTAGAAGAAATAAAAAGTTATGCTAAAAAAACGTTTATGACATGGCATAATATGAACAGTGTTTATACAGTCTTAAAATGTATCTACTGAACATTGACCTCACTGAAATTATGACAGCACTATCTTGGGGGTAGGGGGACCAGAAGGCTGTGTATATGTGACAGAAGTGGGGAAAAGAACATAAATAAATGCTTTGGCCACTCATGTCTCCCCAATCTCCCATATGTATCACTGCTTTTGACAATTTAGTAATAATAGTCGCACACACTCACTGAACAGCATTCTTTTCAAACACCATAGTTTTGTTATTTATCCAATTCGTATGCCTCTGCCTTGTTTTGTAACAAGGTTGAAAACTTTTTGATGGTCCCATGGTCTTCAGCTAGTTTTCTACCTTCCACAGTGGTCATGCAGTGCTGAGCAGACCATAGTGCCTGTTACGTTGCATTGAATTATAACATTCACGACAGTAAAAGGCAGGCAATGCAAATTAATAAAATGCCTCTGGGTTTGCAAATGGAGTTAATAGTATCATTAGAATTACAGTATTACACCTATTTTCAATAATTTTCTTTATATTTTGATTTCTAAGTCTTTAACTCTAATATTCTATTAACTTTAAAAATTATAATACATTTGTGGCACAAGTGGTGGAAAGATTTTGCAGACTTCTTTCACAAACCTTACTGGGGAAAACAGAGCCTCTTTATCTGGAAAATCTGGGTACATGTAGAATAAAAATAATGTCCTCAAGAAGGCCTTCAGGGGCTGGGGGTGGCACTTGCTTAGCATGCCTGAAGCTCTTGGTTTGATCCCTAATACTGCGCTAGATAGACAGACAGACAGACAGACAATGTATGCCTCCAATGAACTCCAGAATGAATAGATACCTCCTCTCCATTTCTCAAACATACTCCTAAATTTCTAAATCCTAAACAAGAAAGAAGTTACAACAGGCTTCAACTCCTGAGAAGATAAAGGAAGCAACACTGTTCCCATGGGAATGTAAGGACTCCCTCAAATCTTACCTCACTCAGACCTTCTCCTTCACAGAATGTCTGAGAGAAAAGCACACAGGTCATTGTCTCTTCCTTCTTCGTAAAAAGAATAAAGTCTTTTCCAATTCTCATGGACCCACTATATCAAAAGTGAAGAACATAATGATTTACACCTCAGATGTTAAAAATGAAGAAACAAGTGTGCATGGCTCTGTGTACTGTCATGGATTGTTCTTCTCAACAACCTGTCTTATGGGCCTATCACCAAGAGGTCATACTTTATTTCTCAAAGTGGCACTGATGAAGTAGAATGGACCCAGATTCAAGCTGCTGTTTGAGACATGGTTGCTGGGGTGAAGTCCTATCCACGGCTCAAAAGAACAATCAATGGACCCTTGTGGAGACATACAGAGCAGCCTCAGGCCTCACCTCTTACTGAGACAAACTATAAAAAGCTGTAGACACAGCACTTAGGCTGCAGTGTGCTCTGGAAAAAAACAGAACATAGAGACACATTGAAGCTTGAGTAATATCCAGAGGTACCACTTCAGGAATGCCTGCAGGAAGACTCACCTTACTATTTGTGAGAATTCATTTTTAAAATGTTGCATAAATCAAGTCAGTTATGGGTATGGAGATTCTAAAACAAGGCAGAACCACTCCACAAGTTCGCACTGTTTTTAAGCTTTACGTGTTTGCATCATTCTGTATAACACTGCTTTCAATATTGTTTCCAGTATCAATAATGCATGCATTAAGGGGGGAAAATGCTCACCTTTTAAGACCATTGCCATATTGTCCAATGAACTTCAAGGTGGATAACTGTTTCTTGGGTGTTCCGAAGTGAATGATGTCTGAAGCTTCCTCTGTAATTGACAATGATGTTCAAGGTGGTTAGGAAGTCTCTTTGGTATTATGATGTATCTCAGGATATTTGGACAAACCCATACCTCCTGGGCCAGCCCAGAGACAAGGATTCGTATGAGGATCCACAATTTCTAGCAAGGATCTTAATGGTATGACACTGATGGAGGTGGGACAGACTTAATCACATGACTCTGGATAGCATTTAAAACTCTGAGCCTTAAATTCCTTGTCTAAAAGGAACTGCTAATACATCACAAAGTTGTTGATGAAGATAAATGAAACAAATTAAATGAGATATTTGTGAAGCCTTGAACAAAATACTTGGCATTTGATTAAGTGTGAACAAATTATAAGCATTATAATGACTTGTACCACAAGTAATTTTATCATGAATTTGACCTTTACCTAGGAACATATAAGACTAAGAAGGACAGAACAGCTTCTGTTCTGATATTACCAAGGGGAAATGACTTAATTTGTTCAAGCTTTCAGACTCATTCTCCTGAACTTGCCAGATGTTTCAGAATTCTACACAAGAATCCTCTGGATTTCAGAATATACTAACCTCCAGAACCAAGAATTTTCTTTCTTTAGTCTGCCTCAATACATGCTTAGAATTGTTCTGAAGATCCCGTAGCAGCCTAGGTATAGACACACTATATGTAGTTCAATGGCACTTGGTATGAAGTGTGTAATGGCCACCAAGCACCCTGTTAGTTTCATCAAACTGGACACTGGATCACATGTTTTTACAAGGGTTAAGCCCTGAGGGTAGCCATGATGACAATATTAGCCACCATGTACTGATTGCTTAGTACATACTAGGAAATCTGTATGTTTTACACTTTACACGCACTGTACCGCCTACTTAATTTCATTTTTCTCTTTTATCTTTTTGGTACCCGGGATCGAACACTGGTCCTTGCACTTGCAAGACAGGTGGTGCCACCTACTTAATTTAAGGAAGATATTATGATCTGTGTCATGTTGTTGCAGGAGGAACAGACTGAAAGACAGACAAATAAGATCTGAAAGGATCAAGTAAAAGAAGCAAAACCAGGATAATGTAATAATAAATTAACAGGAGTGTGGCCTGCAATTAGAACTATCAGAAAAGGCCACTTTGAGAAGACTGACATCTGAGATGAGATTCAGATGATCCAGTTCCAACCAGGTGTGGCTGGAATGTTAGAAGCAGGAAGTGAGCAGTATGAAAAAAGGCCAAAGAAAGGTGAAGAGGGACAAATAATCCAAGATCTTGGAAATAAAGCTCAGGAGCACAAATTTATTCTTCAGCAGTGGAAAACCAATGAGGGTTCCCAACAGGATAATGATATGATAACATTTACATTTTTAAAAGGCTGCTGTGGTGGGGAAAACCATGGAGGAAAAACACAACAGTTTGGAGATTACTGTCAACATCATCTCTGGGTCAAGATTATCTCTCTCAGTTTAGACAACAGATAAATTCTATTTTATGTCCTCTAAAATAAACTTTTCCTTCTAACTCTACTTGATTTCTAGTGTTAACGAAGAATTGCCAATAAATATATAAAAAATACTCAGCATCTTTAGCCATTAGGGAAATGCAAATATAAATTACATTGAGATTTTATCTTGCCCTAGATGAAATGTCTATTATCAAAACAAAACAAATTCTGGAAAGGAAGTAAAGAAAATGAGTCTTTATACAGTCTTGGTGGGAATGTAAATTCATACAGCCACTATGGAAATCAGTGTAGCAGTTCCTCAAAATACTGAAAGTAAAACAATCCAGCTATGCCACTCCCGAATAATTTATCTGAAAGAAATGAAGTCAGGTTACAGAACATATACCTTCATATGCATGTTTATTGCAGCATTATTCATAATAGCCAAGATATGTAATCAGTCTAAATGTCTGTCAACAGATGAATGGATAAAGCAAATATGGTATATATACTATATGGAATATTTTTCAGCCATAAGTAAGAGTGAAACTATGTCATTTGCAGGAAAATGAATAGAATAGAAATGATCATATTAAGCAAAATGATCCTGACTAGGAAGATAAGCATTGTATGTTTTTCTCTCATATGTGAAAAAGATGGGGAGGAAAAGAAAGAGGGTGAGGAGGAAGACAGGAGGTGAAGAGGAGGAAAAGGAGGAGAAGGAGGAAGAGGTGGAGGAGATGACAACCAATACCTACCTGAAATTAGAAAGACCCTATTAGGGAAGGCAAGAGGTGTTGCAGGAGGGGGGAAGGAAGAGATGAAAAGATAAGAGAAAGGAGGCTGACCGTGATCAATGCACAATATATGCATGGATGTAAATATCGCCATGAATCCTGTCAATTCATACAATTAATATACAGTAATGATTGCATTTTTTAAATTGATCTCAACAATATTGATTATTCTACTATATATGGATGTCCCTTAGTTTCTGATAGAGTTATATATATCCTGACAAACTCATCATAAATTGAAAATATTGAAAGTTGAAAATGCATTTAATGTCCCTAACTGTCACATGTCAGTTTAGCCACACAGTCTGCTGTAGAGTGTGGCTGTTTCCCCTCATGATCATAATCACGTGGCTGACTGGGAGCTGGAAATTGCTGCTGAGGCCCGGCGTGGTGAAAGGGTATCTTGGCACACACTGCTAGCCCAAGGTCAAAACGCAAAGTTCCTACTGAAGGCGTATTGCTTTGGCACCATGGCAAAATCAAAAAATTTTAACTTGAACCATGCTGTCTGGGACCTTCTGTATATCAATTAAGGTTCCTTCTAAAAGTCTGAATATTTGTGAGTTTTCTTTTCATTTCGTTCATGACCAATATAAAAAGATTTGCTTCTTTTTTCTAGTTAATATTTTTATTGGTACATGTTTATGATACTTGCTTCTTTTTAAAGGAATTCCTTCATATGATTATCATGTATATTCTGTCATTTATTTTAAGAAGTCAGGAAAATCAACTTAACATTTGGGCTCAAAGTAAAAAATGAGACTATTTTTTCAGTCTGGTTTTTCTTACAATCTCTTTATCTTCTCATATTTAAACACTAAAGAATCAAAACATTAATCAAAATGACCTGGAAAAATAAGAATTGTCTAAACAAAGTCAGAACATAAACTAGATGGGATACTCAAGCATTTTCGACACTTGCTAATCAATATTCTTTGAATATTCATCCCAAGGGACAATTTTAGAACTAGAAAGAGATAACTGCTTTACTTTGTATTCTCAGCTTACATTGGTACTGCTGACCACCCTGTCCTCAGATGTGCAACCAATAAGAACATTTCTGTATTACTTGAACACCCTCAATGTTTTTGAAGCATAGTGATCAAAATGCTAGTAGGGCCGGGGATTTAGCTCAGTGGTTTTGCCGCCTGCTGTGCAAGTTCAAGGACCCGAGTTCGATCCCTGGTACCAAAAAAAAAATCCTAGTGTGTGGGACATAAAATGCCATAAGAATTAAGGAATACGGTATCTAAAACAACTCAAAGCCCATATCAGAAGATGATGTACACTAGAATTGTGTGACTATTTTGTGCTGGCTTTGTGCTAAATTTAAGTAGATAAAGTCATGTAATATATTGTAATCTATTCATCATGAGGGGAACAGTCATTTGAAAGAACTAAGTGCATTTGAACCTCCAAAAGAAGGAAAAAATTGCCAAAAACAACAACAGGTGACCTCTACCTCAAGGTCATGTAGAAAATTTTAAATAGCCTGAAGGCACTGGGAATGACCTTGAGGCTCTTGCAAATATGATAGCTGAAAGACGAACTAAAAACAATCTCACTGCATTTGGTCACTATTTGAATGTATTCCATTCATTCCCACATGGTTTTTCTTACAATCAGTACCATCTGACTGTCATTTTTTTCTCACAATATTTATTTACATTCACTTTTTGTCTTCATTTAGAATCTAAACTTTAGATAACTGCAATGAATTTACTCCACCAGGTGGAAAACTTAAACCTAAAACCTTCAACAATAAGTCTGGGGTTTATTTTCCTACCAGCTCCATACCTGTTTTCAAATAGATAGCTCAATTTATTTTTATTTATTTTATGAGTTTTCAGACTATTTCTTTTAACAGCCAGCTAAGTGTCTAGATAATTAACTTACCAGGGCTCATGCCACATCCATCATCCATGAAGCACAACGTGAATCCACCCTGCAGTTTTTCATTATCCACTGTAACAGAAAGCAGTTATTACCAATAAATACTAGGCTTAATTTGTTCATCAGAAAGTCATGCTGCTCACATAATTACTCGTCCTCCTCAATGGCAGCCACGGAGTGACAGTTATGGCACAGTGACGGAGCTCCGAATGGAGTCTTGGCTACAGCTTCATAAAAAAAACTGCAGGGGAAAAACAATCACTCAACAAAAAGGCTTTAAATTAACATAAAACATCTACATGTTAATAAACTCTGTATACAGCGGGACATACCCTGCTTTGAAATTGAACTGGGCCTTTAAACTTCAGGTATTTCTTCCCTAGGAGAGGAAAAAAGTAGTTGGTGATGTAACCCCAGGATCCCTCTATCACACTGATCAACCTTTATGTTTTCCCACCAAAGTACTAATTCTAAAATAAACCTAAGCCATTCTTATTAAATTCATCAGACTCCCTCCTAAGTAAGTAGTTAATTCCTATAAGAACCTTTTGTGAGTGCTTCTTTGTGGCAGGAAATATTTGCTTTTTGAAGATGTATTTGATTTTTGAAAATAGATGTTATTTGAAATCAGTTTTGATGATTAAGAGATACCTTAAATTACATAATATCATCTCTGGTTTTAAAAACTTAAAGATGTAACTAAAACTAATGAGATTAATTTTAGTGGACTGTTTGTAAATCTATTCTAAAAATAATTTTAGTGGTTGGATCGTGAGTTCCAGAATATTTTTTCAAGTGTTACCACAGAAATATTTATGCATAATAAACTGCATATGTTTATATAATACGATAAATTTGGATACATACACACATACACATACATACTCATACACACACATACTCATATACACACAGACACACACACACATGAAACCATCACCACAATTAAAGGAGTGAACATAGCCATCACCTGAAATGCTTCCTCCTGGCTGTCTGTAATCCCTCTCTTCTTTCCTTCCTTGCCTTATCACCCACTTCATTCCCAGGCAATCACTGATCAGCTTTGTGTCCCCATGAATTACTTTATAGCACATTTAAGTCAATCATTACATTCAAAGATCAACAAGAATTCACATTTATAAATTAAACAGTGTTCAAGGTAATGCATGAATAAATATCTAAAAGATATATGAAACTGTATTAGTTTTCTGTTGCTATAACAAAAGACTTAAGGCTAGATAACTTGTGAAGAAAAGAAGTTTATTCATCCCACAATTCTGGAGGCTCTAAAGCTTCTGCTCACCTCTGGGGAAAGCCTCATGGCAGATGTTACCACATTAGCAAGAGCACATACCAGCCAGAAGGATTATGTGGCAAGACAGGAAGCCAGAGGCCCGAATGTCAGGTTCATTCTCCTATAACAACCCACTTTTACAAGAACTAACTCACTGTGTGGGATCAGCATGAATACCTTCCAAGGTCAGGGCCTCCAATGATCCAACCACCTCCCAGTAAACCTCATCTCTCAAAGGTTCCACCACCTCTCAAAACTATGACACTGAGAACCAAGCTTCTAACACATGAAATTTTAGGGGCAAACCACACCCAAACTACAGCGCTAATCTTTTCAAGGACAAGTGCTACAGTCATGTGCCCAATCAAAAAGCTCCTCCTGGTTATCCTGTGTTCATGTGGAATTGGGAACCACCTGATCTCAAACCAAGCTCAGCCTCTGGTTATCTCTTCACAGTAGCTACAGCTGATTTTGCACTTCTTGATATACTTGTCTTAAGGAAGAAGCGTGCGTGGAAAAGAGATGGCTTCCATGAACAGCTGAGAAAGACCAAGATTCCCAGCAGCTATATATCACACAGCCTCCCTTTTTAAAATTTTATAAATCTACATCATGGATTGGAGACAAACGAGTATATTGTGTATGATAATTCTGAGTGCTCGGGAAAAGAGGGTGACATGAACTCTGACCCCCACACCCCAAAGAACAGTGTATGGATTCTGATTACAGCCGCTGCGCTTGGTTCTAGGTGGTCTTCTTAGCCTCTCATCAATAGGATGTGTGTTCCCCTTCCCCTTCCCATTGAGGAAAGTTCATCTCCTTGTTATCTATCTTTGCTCTTTATTTATAATTTTGGTTTATCATTTTAGAGAAAACATGTAATATTTAAGTTTATGTGTCTGATTTATTTCACTTAACATTATGGTTTCAAGGTACATCCTACAAATGACTCCAGTATATTTTTATGGCAGAATAGTACTCTATTGTATGTAAAATAACATTTTATTTATCCATTCATCTGTTGATGGATAAATATTATCCATCTCCCCAACACAATGCATGTCCTTGACAGTGTACACTTAACATTTTGCTCAGTGCTTCTTTCCCAACACCCAGAATAACAGACACTCAATAAACTGTTCCTGAATACATGAACAAACCTCTGAATTAGTCTAATTTCAGTCTTTTTCTCATAACTATTTTTGGATAACATTCTTTTTTCTGGACTACTTGACAAAAATCACATATTGCAAACCCCATTTGTTTAATATGAAGCACATTTTCCCCTTTACCTGTGCTCTTATCATACTTTGAGCCTCTCATAGGCAAGAGATACTTATCCTATTCTACTCTACACACAGACAGTCCGTGACGAACCTAATGCGGTTTCCACTTACAGTTTTTTCAACTTCCAAAGGGTTTACTGGTTATAACTCTACTGAGTTAAAGAGCACCTGTAATTGAATAGAAAGGGAAGAACACTTTTTTTCCACTAAAGAAGCATCAGAGTGATACAGAGCAGTAAATTTGTTTGCCATGAAAAACAGTTTTATTTTTAAAAGCTTATTAACTTAATGGACATTCATAATCAAATATGCATCATCTCCAATTTATCACAATTTTAAAGTGCCTAAGTGTTGATTCTGAGCTCCCTGATCTGACTGGTTGCCAAGCTAAAAATAAACTGCTCAGACCCTTCCCTCATCTTGCTTTTGGAAGTAAGCTGCCTGCAGAGAGTGTGACTTTGTTTTCTTCTCCCCAGGGAGGACCAGTTTTGAGGGGAAGCTGACACTACTGGACTGTGAGCAACCTGATCCTGGGGTCTGATCAGCAAGTCCACTTGCTCTCTCACAAAAGCTCCACACTCTGACCTAGTATTAGTGACAGAAGTGGATTCTTTCATCTATTTCTCAAACTTTTCAAAACCTGGAAAGTAGAAGGGGAAAAGAGTGTTGTTTATCATTTTCTCAGATGCCTTGTGACATCCATGTCTACCTCCCTCAGGAACCACAAACATGCATCTGGTTCAGCACCTTAAATCCTCAAAATAGTAAACTAAAAAACAAGAAATCAATTAACATCACGCACACTACCCTCTCACCTGCAGGCAATAATCACTATTACAGAGCAGCCACCAAAATCAGGGGAGGGAAGCAGTGCCTTCCACTAAGGATGATTCTCTAGTGTCATTAAACACAGTGCTGAAGCACAGAACCTAAAGTCAGTAACATTCCATTCAAATGAAATTAAGCAACAAGTGCAATCGATATTTGGAGTCTACAAACAAAGTAAATGAGGAAACATATTTGGCTTGAATTTTGTTGCCCTCAAATATTCATACTTCATGTTCACTTATTTATTTAAAACTGTGATAAGTTGGAAATGATGGATGCTTAATTATAAATAACCATTAAGTTAATAAGCTTTTTAAATAAAACTATTTCTCATGGCAAATAAATTTACTGCCCCATATCACTTTGATACTTTCACAAACTGTAGAAAACCTAATTTTGTAAATGGGTCCTCTTATAAGTGAACAATTTGACTCTTTTCTCTTTTTATACTTTTCTCAAATTGGTTTCCCCTCGGGTAACTGTGTTCAGGAAGCATTTAGATCACATTAAAAATATTTAAAATGTGGTCTGATTGCACGAAGTAAAATAAAAGCAAAATAGCTACAGGCTTTCCATTAGAATTAAAAATGAAGAAAGGAAATCTGCTCACCTGAAAACACATCAAGTCTTGCAGCCCCTGCATCTCTGGAAACAATATAAAAATGCCATTGCTTCAGTGGAAAATTATGTTTAAAACTTACATTAATCTGAATTGATTATGTGAGGTATAAGTTATTGTCAGATATCAAACAATACAAAACTCCACTTAAATTGCTTTAAGATCAACTACGAAAATATTTCACTGTGCATTTATATACTAAGAACTATCATCATTCATAATTTGAGAACTTTACCAAGGCAAAAATTCAGAAATGTAAAAGAAGTGATAGAATTTAGTGATACTTACATGAAGAACTCAACATAGTGAATATGAATGCAGAATTTTTTTTAAAATGTCTGGAGAGTGATCCATATGTTATAGAATGACTTTCCTGATATATTTAGTAAATTGCCATGTACTATTTACTGTATGAACAGCATACATGATATACATGTACATATATGTAAGCAAAGAAATCAAAATATTATTAAGGGTTTTCTTAGGTCAGTGGTAGGCAAACTATGGCCTGTGAATCAAATCTAGGACACTGTTTTGTAGACAAAGTTTTATAGAAACATATTCTAAGCTTCTTCATTTACATATTGTCTATGACTTCCTAAGCAGTCTGATGGCAATGGTAAGTCATTTCAACAGAAGCCACATGGTCTGCAGTGAAGATATTTACTGTCTTTGGTAGAAAAATATACAGACTCTTGCTCTGTGTGATAAAATTACCAATTATTAGGGGCCAGGAATTTAGCTCAGTGGCATCACACCTCCCAAGTGAAAGGTCCTGAGTTTTATCCCTGATACCAGAAAAAAACCAAAAAGGGACATTACACATTATTTTATTTTTTTCTCTTGCCTCCTTAGTTTTTAAAAATACACAGACATTACTTTTGCATTTCTAAGAACTATATTTAAAATAAAAATTTTAACAGGAAAGGAAAAGGAGCCATAAGATCCTAGTTTCAATATCACAGGAGTGAGAGGAGAAAGATAAAGAATGCGATCTTAGCTGACAAGGAAGAGGGTATTACAAGGGAGGGAGGAGTCTAAAAGGAAGTTCAGTACAATGACAACCAGTGCAATTTTGATGGAGAAATCTGAGTCTATCTCTAAATTTCCATAGTTCAAAACCCCAAACTACCCCAAATATATCTGAGTAGGTATAGGGTACTTGTTCTACCAGTCTACAAGTTACTGCCTTATAGCTGCTTTTTCTAGTCAATCGATACTTTTAAATCCTCTTTATATAGAAAATCTGTTCCAGAATAGCAAAAGCAATTATAGGTAACAGAGACATGGTAGGGGGGATTAAAACCCCAAACTTGAAACTATACTATAAAGCTACTGTGATAAAAAAAAACAGCATGGTACTGGCAAAGAAACAGACCTGAGGACCAGTGGAACA